ACATTCTTAGCAAAAAAAAAAAAAAATCTACATTTTTAGAATTATTAAATGTGGATTTTTTTTTTTTGCTAAGAATGTAAATAATAAATGTGGAAATTGACATTTGACAATCTCTTGAAAGTTTCTCAAATGTATTTTATTAAGATTTGTGGGTTGTTGAAAAAGTTATGAATGTGTGGATACAGAAATATCTATAAACTCTTATATATAAACATATATCAAGATATGTGGTAAATCAAAATTCTTTTTCATTTCTCTCTGATAAAAAAGCTCACCCTGATCTAATTTTGTATCCTTTCTTGCTACCCAAGAGAACCAAAAACGAAAACCTTTTTCCCAAACAAAACAGCTAAAAAAATGCCGATAATGGGTGAAGTATGGACTTACACAGGCTCTGCTCTCGCAAGCCTAATGTTTATCTACACAATCTTCGAACGATTCTTCCCTCACTCTCTCCGACAGCACTTCAACGCATTAGCTCAAAGGTTCATCGATCTTTTCTACCCTTACATCCATATAAAGTTCTTTGAATATAGCAGCGAGGGGTTCGAGCGGAGCGAAGATTATGCTATGATCCAGAGCTATCTAAGCAATGACTCTTCTTCTCGAGCCAAGAAACTAAGGGCCAACACAATCAAAGGAAGTAAATCTATTGTCCTTAGCATGGACGATCACGAAGAAATCACTGATGAGTTTGAAGGAGTTAAGGTTTGGTGGCAATCCAAGACACACCAAATTGAAAACCGTTCTAATCCCTATCTAGCTAAAGTAGACGAATCGAGATACTACATACTCAAGGTCCACATACGTGACAGGCAAGTAATCACAGATAAGTATCTTGATCATGTTAAGAATGAAGGGAAGAAGACGGAAGTCAAGAACAGAAAAAGGAAGCTTTATGTGAACAATCCAAGCCAGAATTGGTCTGGTTATAAGCAAACGAAGTGGAGCCATGTCACTTTCGAGCATCCTGCCACATTCGATACTCTTGCAATGGAGAATAAGAAGAAAGAAGAGATCAAGAACGATCTGACCAAGTTTAGGAATAGACAAGAATACTACAAGAAGATTGGGAAAGCATGGAAAAGAGGGTATCTCTTGCATGGTCCACCAGGAACTGGCAAATCAACAATGATCGCTGCGATGGCTAATTTCTTGGATTATGATGTTTATGATCTTGAATTGACAACGGTTAAGGATAACACAGAACTCAGGAGGTTATTGATTGAGACATCCGGAAAATCGATAATTGTCATTGAAGATATCGATTGTTCTCTAGATCTAACTGGTC